GTATAGGTTGGTTCTGGTTGTGCACCCACGCCCCTCTGTATGTGTATACATACCACCACCCGGTCATTCACTGACTAGCTCATTTTTGATAGCAGGGCGGAAAAGGTTGCCGACCGTAGGAGTTGTTGCTCGCACTCAAAGGGCCTGTGGTTCGGTCTCTCTCCTTTCTACGACGCTCCTCGTCCCGTCGACCGATGCACCGACTACATAGTCCGAAGGATGCAGCTCTCAGCAGGTACAACCCGGTCCGTTTTTTCATTCTACCGATCACAATGCTTCACCTGATCTTCGATACCACCCTCGCATTCTTCCAAGATTTTCACACGGCAGGTATCCGCTCGTAAGATTTCACCGTGCAAATGTGTGTTGAGCTCGGCGCGCGCACCTGTGTGTGTTACTGGGTCGCGGGAAAAATGCGGGAAACGAGTCAAGTTGGACGAACGGTTTTCTAAAACATTCTACATTGAAAGGACGCTTCGTTAGTGGTAACTTAACCGGTTTAATTGGAGTTTAACCCAGTTTCCAGATTCACTAATAATAAAAGACGCGGAGAAACACACGGACGTCGCGTTGTTTCGAAAAAGAAACGGCCAGCAGGGGGGAAAGCGGGGGAGAATAGGGAAGGAAAGCAAGGAGGACTGGAGTGGAGTGGAGTGGAGTGGAGTGAAGAGAAGTGAAGAAGAGGGCGAGGGAGCCGGGAAACGAACGAGCACAACGAACCGTTCGCATCGGTTCGTTCCCAGTGGCGGTGACTGCGAAGATTATTCGCTATAGGGCATCGAACGCATTGCGAGCATGGGGGTAGCTCAGCTGCTTGCTTCGCCATATATCGGGGGTAGCACGTAGAGGTGAACCCCTGGTTCGCAGCTGGCAGAATCGCGCACCTTCCACGCCGTCGCGACACGTTACGCACCTCCTTCCTTTCGCCATTCTCGATAGGATACCGACCGACCGACCGACCGACCGATAACGCTCTAGGTCACCTTTTTTATCGCGAGTCGCCGATAAAAATCGAGCGGGAATCGAGTGACGTATGGGATGATAAAATAGTGCGGGCAAATGACAGCACGTGGCTCGGTTGTCTCGCTCTTCACCGGTCTGGGGAGACCGTCTAGCCTTCCGCGGGAAACGAACGGTTCCGAACGAACGAAACGAATAACGGACTGGCAGGGAATCGGGCGAACGCCCGGCTCCCTGCGACTTTGATTTTTCTATAAGAAGGAGTGCAGATGGTCGTATCCATTGTGATGGTTGGCACGTGCCAACTATGGGTACCCCGATGGTGCACCGCTAAGTGCATATACGCGTGTACGTGTAAGAGACAGTGTTCGCGCGAACGTGTGCGTGCGCTGGGACACAAACGCGGCCATACGGCTACATAATCGAGGATACGTTCGAGATAGAGATCGAAGGAAAAATTGCACGGTAGATTGGGACACGCGAGACGGAGTCAACGGCGATAACGACCACGTAACCGTAAAGTCTGCCGGAGAGCGGAGAAGGCAGGGCCTCTGCAGCTTCCGAAACGGGATCATCATCTGTTCCTTCGGGATCCCGAAGGGTGTACGAGACAGGCTGCTCGTTCTTGCCATTCTTCCGATACAACACGCAGCCATCGCAGATGCACCATACACGGCGGTAGATCGAAATTCGCAATACGCCGAGAAGCAGTCGAAAGAAAGACAGTGTATAGGAGGTGGAGGAGGAGGAGGATGAAAATTGCTGGAGAACCCCTCGCTAACAGCTATCGAAAGTCCCCTCTTCTTTGGATCGACGGACGGATAGATGAAAACGAAGGGAAGTCAGAAAAAATAATCACCCTGGGAAGAGAAGAAGCGCAAGACCGTGGGCTCGATTCGGATGCGGGGAGGGGGATGTAAGTGAAGAGACCAAGATTTTCCAGCGTTCGATAGAGCAAGACCGTGGTAGACGGATTAACGGCAGGGTAATTAGCAACTTCTTTTCGAAAACACGACGGTTCGCGAGTCGAAGGAAAGGCGAAAGCTGTCCGAGCTACTTACGTGTGTACCTTGCGTTCTCTCTGTGGCTGTGTCGGCCTCCCGTTTACACAATAGAAAAAGGTATTCCTATAGATTTTCGTTGCGAATTTACAAAAGGGAAAAGGCCCGCCGCGGGTGGGCCTCTCGGTATTTGGCGCCGCCCACCTGCTAAATAGCGCAAATTCCAACACCCTACAGAACCCACCGAGTCAACGCTATTCTTCAAAAACGATTTCACGTCGCTTTTTAACCGTTCGTCCCTCTACCAATAGCAGTTTATTACCGAAAGACACCAAAGGGAGCAATTACCGATGATCGCGTCCAACGACGCGATTATTACGGGTACACCGCGTAATTATGCTTCGCTTTACCCGACACTTTTACACACTCCAATTCCCATTGTCGTTTTCCTCTTTCTCCAAAAGCTCTATTGTCTTTCGCGCGTTAAACGCAACAATTAACACATTAGCCGCGACAACGAGTCGAGTAAAAGTAAGTATGTAAGTACATAGAGGAGAGTAGTAAAGCGCGCTCCGAGAATAACGATGCAACGGTGTCCGTAAACTCAGACCTTGGGACACGACCAGCTCTTATCGGCGCTCAACCGCAACCGAAATATCGCGACGATATCTTCGTTTCGCCTTCCTCGTTTCACTCGTCCGTTTCTCTCGTCGTTCCATCTCCCTCGACTGCCTCTATCGCTCTCTCGCAACCTCCTTCTCCCGTTTATCTTTTTTCGTGTTATCAGGCATCTCGAAGATGCGAAACCGGTGCAGGAAAGCGCAAACCGTAGGAAGTCGAAACGAAAATATGCGTATATGCGATCCCATCGAAAAAGTCGTTTCGCGTTCATCGATTATTCACGTACGAGTAAGCGTTCGTGTAACAGCTGCGCCCGTATAGCGTATCGCAAGAGCAAGCGTTAGACAATACGTGCCCACGTGGGGGAGGCCGAAAGTGTTATATGGGGGCGTGTAACGCTTCCTTCTCTCTCTCTCTCTCTCTCTCTCTCTCTCTCTCTTTCTCTCTCTCTCTCTCTCTCTCTCTCTGTATCCATAGAATGCACTTTGACGGTACCGAAATCGAGCTTTCCCACGAAAGCCTTATCTTTACCAAGCGACACGAGTTCGGAAACGAGAAATTCGCGTCGTTTTCGATCGTTAATCGGCCCCCTCCCATCGTCCCCTTCAACCTCGATCGCGAAAAGTACGTTCGCTCGGCAAACACGTAAAGGCGCAAGAACGAAAAGGACGGAAAACGACGATGACCCAGCGAGCGAGCGAACGAACCAACGAACGACGTAGACGGTCAAAGTCGGCGAGACGATGATTTCCTCCTCGTCCCGCGCAGGAAGGTTGCCCGTTCCCAGGCCGGAGACTCTTCTCCGTCCACCCAGAGAGGAATTTAAATCTCAACGGTCGGTCGTGGTCTTTCATAGTGGGGAGAGGCCACCGATGGAACGCCGCGCCTCTCGCCTTCACCCTCGCCGTCGCCGACGGCCCGGGCCCCGACGACCCCGGCACAAGTTCGCCGCGCCGGCTCCAACCCTACGGAAAAAGAAGACCCAACGTCGCACTCTCTACCCAACCAACCAACCAGCGTAGAGGCGCACCAACGGACGACCTAGAGGGGACAGAGGATAAGAGGGAAAAAGAGAGGAAGACATTGTTGTTTGTAAACAGAAAGGCGAACGTGTCGCGGATCGAGTTCCGAGATCGTCAATTTCTTCGAGACTTTCCGGTCTCTGACGCTCAACGGACAGAGGTTTACGATCGAAAACCGTTCCAAGGTAATACCAAGTAGTTAGAAACTAACGACAGATACAGCGGATGTATTATCGTTGGAATTGCTCGGTGTTCCGTTCGAAACGGAAAACGAGCGGTATCGCGTTGATCTCTCGACCTCCTACGGAATCGACGTGGAGAACCAAGTGGACGCGCGGCGCGGCATAGCTCGCTCCAACCGGTGTATTCACAATATGTATCTACATAACCGCTTCCCGTTTGAATTCTCCGTTTACGATGCCCGCCAGTCGAACGGTAGAAACGCGTTCGATTCGTCTCGATCTCGCTCCTTTCTCCCGTCGATCCCCCCCCCGACCGCAATCCGTCTCTTTTCTCGCTGCATCGCGTCCACTACTACCACGATTCACGACAACCTTCGTTAATAATGCTTTCTCAACTTTCCGACAAAGCAACCTCTTACCACCCGCGTACCGTGCCAGTCCTACGCCACCGGAGCTTAATACCCTCTTAATACTCTCTTTTTCCTCCGTCGCGTCGTTTCGGAATAAAATCTTAAAAGACCACGAGGACCTTCCTAGAAAGGCGTTTGTCGCTTTTTCCATCCACGAGTTACGCGTAAGCAACGATCGCCAGGAGGAAAGAGAAGAATTCTCACGCTAGCTCTCGGTTACCAGGAGAGGATGCGAAAGACCGCGGTGTCCGAAGGTCGCTCCTTCCGATTGCTCGTTTTGCGCATCGCACAAAGCCGCCTCTACCAGCGGAACGTTCAAATCTCGGTATAGATGTATGTACACCGACACACGATTCGCAACCGTCCACGCTATGAATATCTTCGATACGTTCCACCTTACACTCGTATCGTGGCAATTTTTCAAACGGTTAAACACAGGAGGATAGAGTTAATTGATTCGCGACCGCGCGTCCAACGAACGCAGCCAGAGAGAGAGAGAGAGAGAGAGAGAGAGAGAGAGAGAGGATCGTGTGTGTAGGGGAGGTAGATGGAAGAAGGCGTAATGCAGGAAATGGAAGGGAGAGAAAAAATTGGTTGGAAGGGCGCTGTTGCTGGGGGCAGAAATCCGCCGTTACGAGTGTAGAGTTAAAACGCTTGGAAAGAGTAGCGGAGAAACGAAGAACCGGGATACGAAAAGAATAGCGAGAGAAGAGACTGGAAGAGGGAAGGAGAGGGGGAGCGAGTGCGAGCGAGTGCGTGGTGCGAGCGAGAGAATAAGACCGAGTGAACGCCGGTGGGTGGGGAGGATACGATAGAAGGAAGGAAAGAAAAAGAGAGAAAGCGGAGAGATAGGAGAAGAGAGACGACAGGCGTAGAAGATGAGGCGGCGGCGGATGAGGTGACGGGATGACGGGGAGACGAGTGTGGGTAGACATGCAGGCATGCAGACAAACAGGCACGCAAGTGAGTGGATACCGGAGAAAGAAGTCGAGAGGAAGGAGGAAGTTGCGCAACGGTTAACCGTCGTCGGAGGAACGCGCGCGCCCATTCCTCCGCGCGATTTTTCACGTCCGTTTGAAAATGCAACGACCGGCGGG